TGTATGATACGACCCTCTTAAAATTAAGTTCAAAATAAGGTCTTTAAAAGTCGCATGAGACGTGAGTATATTCGGCATTTAAGGAATGTATATGAAGTGATAAAATCGTGTATTGCGTTTCGTTCTTTAGGATTTCATTGAACGTAAATTATTGTTTACGTTGACGCGAATGCACTTGCTAAAAAAATAGCTGTAAATTTAATTTTAAATTTAATTTTAAAAATATTTAAATATGTGTTTGGTTTGGTTGGGTTTGGTTTACAGCATATCAACCTCAATGGGTTATTTAATTTTTAGGATAGGTTCGTATGAATAGAATATGTATTCTTTGATTTGTTTTATTTTCTTTTAGCGCATATCCACCTCAATGGGTTATTTAATGCCGATTAAATTTTTAGGATAGGTTCGTATGAATAGAATATGTATTCTTTGATTTGGTTTATTTTCTTTTACGTCATATCAATCTCAATGGGTTATTTAATGCCGACAAGATTTTTAGGAAAGGTTCGTATGAATAGAATATGTATTCTTTGATTTGGTTTATTTTCTTTTAGGCATATCAAACTCAATAGGTTATTTAATGCCGACAAAATTTTTAGGATAGGTTCGTATGAATAGAATATGTATTCTTTGATTTGGTTTATTTTCTTTTACGACATATCAACCTCAATGGGTTATTTAATGTCGACAAGATTTTTAGGAAAGGTTCGTATGAATAGAATATGTATTCTTTGATTTGGTTTATTTTCTTTTAGCGCATATCCACCTCAATGGGTTATTTAATGCCGATTAAATTTTTAGGATAGGTTCGTATGAATAGAATATGTATTCTTTGATTTGGTTTATTTTCTTTTACGGCATATCAAACTCAATAGGTTTATTTAATGCCGACAAAATTTTTATTGCTGGTAATAATTTTTTCCTTTCACAAATCTTTAGCTGGTAAAATTTTTTCCAAAATTGTATTGCTGGCAACAATATTTTTTACAATGTATTTCTTGCATTAAAACCAATGTTTACACTTCCATAGTGTTTTGACCCCAGTTTAGGGGTTAACTTTTTGCCGATAGCTGGGTTTGGTTTGGTTTGGTTTACCGCACATCAATCTCAATGGGTTATTTAATGCCGACAAAATTTTTATTGCTGGTAATATTTTGTCTTGTCAAAAATCCCTTTCTGGTAATACTTTTTTTCCAAAAATGTATTTTTTTTTCCAAAAATGTATTGCTGGTAATATTTTTTTCCAAAAATGTATTGCTGGTAATAGTTTTTTTAGCAGGTATTTCTGGTCTTAAAACCTATTTATTATACACTTTCATGGCGGTTTGAGTCCAGTTAGGAGGTTAACTATTGCCCATAGCTGGGACTCCAACAAGTGCTACCACTCAAGGTCAGGGTAACCCTGGGGATACCAGCAAATAAGAGGTGGTTCCACGCTCCTCAAAACCTCCTGATCAGAGGCCTTGCTGCTAGACGTAGTTTATCATCTTACCCAGGACGCGGATGTAGTTTAACGGAAATATGTGTTTGAATATATAGTCTAACGAATTTCATTTATTTTTTTTTTCTGTTTATATTTTTTTATTTTATTTATATTTTTTTTATAATTGTTTACTTATCCTAAATAAGACAATAGGCCGAAAATAGCGTACTGATGCCATATAAGGGCAGGAGTTGTCCAGTCTTCACTTTCCGCTCTCGATAGAGCCTAAGATGTCTTCGCGTCCCAGTAGGTGACGAAATATGTCCTATCTCGTAACCCGATTCTTATAGACGAGATGGCGTAAGCCTCTCACCGCTCTATCGCCATTACCAGGGAGAGTGTTCAGATGAACTACACTCCAGCAGTCGTAACCTTCACGTCTAGGGGGCCCATCTTGCCACGCACATTGTAGCAAACCATCTTCATTTCCTTCATATTCCCCTGGTGAGGTGTAAGTTCTACTCAGGCAGTTTCTTCCCTAGAATTATTGCCTTCTGAAACCGTCTCCCAATCATTACAATTTGAAACTTTAAGCCTAGGGCTAACATTCAGTCAGTGACGTGCCATGCATGATTCACGTGTAGGCGATCATGTATCTTTCGATACATGACTGACGAGGCAGATTTTTTTTTCCAGCAGTAGATTGCCATTTCTTTCAGCAGTAGACCAGTTACTATCCAAGGCTATAGAACCCAGTCTGTCCTGAAATTTACCCATAGCTGGGCAGGGAAGAAGAAAAGGATGCATACCTTTCCCAAGGGTATTAACCACGTATGTGAATGTGATGGATTCGACTGGAATTCGAACTCCACTCTCCGATTCCACAATCCGTGCCTCTTAGTCAGTTATGTGTCATGCGTGATACACGCTTAGGCGATCATGTATCTTTCGATACATGACTGACGAGGCAGATTTTTTTTCCAGCAGTAGGTTGCCATTTCTTTCTGCGGTAGACCAGTTGCATTCCAAAACTATAGAACCCGGTCTCTCTTGCTATTTACCCATAGCCGGTGGGAGAAGAAGAGGTTTCATACCTTTTTCAAGGGTATTAGCACGTAAGTGAATGTAATGGATTTGACTGGAATTCGATCTCAGCTCTTCGATTCCTCAATCCGAGCCGCTACCCTTTTCTCCATCGTGCTTCCCCTACATACCCGTATAAGCTGTGCCACTTACTCTGTAAGTCTCTACATCGAATGGCTATCGGGAAATTTATAGGGTGAACACCACTGTAAATAAAAAAATAAAAAAAAAAGAAGAAAAAGCAATACCACGAACGGTCGGGCCGTTGTACGCTCGGGCATTCTTCAAGTGATTGAAATTTCGAACCCGACCCTTTATTTCGTCCATCAAGGTAGACTATTCTAGTTCCACATACCGTGCCTCTTCCACATGTCTGAGTTATTTCGTTTTAACTCAACTTTCCACGGTTTTTAACTGTAACCTGGTACTGATCTCACAACTTGGCCATGTGTCCATTGACCACAGTAGATAAAGACGGTGGTGAGATCCAAAGAATTGTGAGTTCAATACCAGGCTACAGCAGTGGTGAACAAAAAACTTGAAGAGTTAAGTTAAAGGGGAATAACTGTGACATCTGGATGAGGCATGGCACGTGGAACTAGAAAAATCTTTCACTCTTCTAAACATACACACACACACACACATATATATATATATATATATATATATATATATATATATATATATACACATATTTCTTTGAATAAGACAGACAAGGGTACTTTGATTTACTTTTTTATACAATTTCTCATATGAATATTTTTAATTATTATTCTCATATTATTTTTTTTTTCTTTTCAGATGAAAAATTATATAAAAACTGTCCGAATGTTCTTTTTATCCGAGCGCTTTCGGCTATACATTTAGCCGTTTTCATGGATGAAGTATTTTAACTGTTAAATAAGAAATAGCTTGTTGCATGTATGTATTTATATAATGTTTACATTTTTCAAAACACGGTCAAGATATTGTTTCCATGTTCATAGTTAAGATTATTAAGTGTTGTATTGTTTTTTGTTTTTTTTTTTGCTGTTATTCGTAACATACTTGTTGACAACACAAATATAATAGCATCATTTACATGCAAAAAAAAGGCTAAAAATAATGGATGCCTTATTAATAAAAACAACAAAAAAACAACACTTAATAATATTAACTATGAACATGGACACAATATCTTGACCGTGTTTTGAAAAATGAAAATATTTTATAAATGCATACATGCTATTTCTTATTTAACAGTTTAAATATTTCATCCTTGAAATTGGCGAAAAGAAAAAACGAGAAATTTTATGATAAACTAAATCAAAGTAACTTGTCTGTCGTAT